ATCTGGTGTGTCCTGTGTAAGTAGATGCATTTGGAAGGTGCAGAAATGATTAGGGTAGAGTTTTAAGCTTTAATATACATTAGAAACACCAAGGAAGCTTCTTAACCAATATACTCCCATCCCCCATCCTCAGATCTGGAAGCAGCCCAGGAATTTGTACTGTTTTTAACAGAGCACTCAAGAGATGCCAAAGAAGGTATTTATGGAACACAATCTGAAGATCACTTCCACAGAATCTTTCTTTTTCTATTTGTTTGCTGAATTTAATCTTCTAAAGATTAGTAACACCAGGGTGTAAATGAATCATGGGAGAAATAGGATTTGACATATCGTTTGGTATTTTTGTTTAATCATTTTAAACACCAGAAACTGGAAAGAAGGGATGTGATTATGAAATGGGTTTCATTTCACTGTGATCATCACAGACACCAGGATGCTGATGGGAGGCCCTGGAGACACACCCTACAAGGGTTTATGCTGTGCTGAAATATACACAGGTTGTTCTTCTGTGGAAGGAACTGACTTTGTGTGTATAAATATAAATACTTCCTTGTATGCACATAGGCAAACTTGTAAATCTGTTTAGAAAATAGGAGTCAACATGACAGGAGGAGCCTTAGTTTTAAAATTTAAAATGTTCAAAGAACTGTCCTTTTACATTCATTATTTTGGCCTTGGAAAAGGTTAGAACTTGTTCATTTAACAAAGACTTGTAGAGTGCCCACTGTGTCTGGGCTCTGTTCTAGATGTCAGGTTACAGCATGAATGAATATCAGACTATTTTCAGCTTCGTAGAAATCCAGTTCTAATGATGGAGACAGACAATAAATCATATATATACACAATTATATATTATATTATATATATTATATATTTTAAACACACAAAGAAAAATAAGGCAGTCATAATGGGTAGAAAGTAATAGAGAATAAAGAGGGCCAGAGGAGATTTCTCTGAGAAAGTGATACTAGAGCAGAAAATTGAATGACATGCGGGAATAAGCTGTGCAGATATTTCCAGGTGGAGGGAATGGCAAGTGCAAAGGCCCCAGGGCAGGAAGATGTGATATGATAAGGAATAGCAAAAGGACAATATGATGGACAGAGTGAGGGAGGTTGATAGGGGCAGAGACTTAATTGGAGAGGTAGCCAGAGGGCAAACCGTGCAAGGTGTTATGGATCATGAGAAAGAAAGACTTCTGAGTTCATTCTAAAGGTTATTGGAAGTCTTTACTTGGGGGAAGGGTGAACTTGGTGACATGTAGCATGTGACATGTGACATCTGACTTCCTTTTTAGAAGAAAGCATAGAAAATAGACTGGCCCATCAAGGGGACTACTTAAGATCTCATGAAGCAATAAAATATAATAAACATATCCTTCTATTTTTCTTACAAATGAGTTTATTAAAAATAACATTAAAGCAAATTTAAAGTTCCTAATTTTCATGTTGTTATTCTCATGTTGATAAAACATTCTTATTTTCAGATTATTTATTCTGTCCATAAATATGATGTTTAGACTCTGGAGATACCAAGTGTGATATCTACCAGTATCGAGTGTCTAGGGGTTGACAATCTAGTTGGGGCAGATACTTATTTACCGGGCTTGGTGGCTCAGCCTGTAATCCCGCACCTTTGGGAGGCTGAGGTGAGTGGATTGCCTGAGCCCACAGGTTCGAGACCCGCCCGGGCAACTTGGTGAGACCTCATCTCTACAATAAAAATCAAAATTAGCCAGGCGTGATAGAGCATGCCTGTAGTTCCAGCTACTTGGAAGGCTGAGGCGGAAGGATTGCCGAAGCCAAGCAGGTCGAGGCTGCGGTGGCCGGGAGCGGCCACTGCACTCCAGTCTGGGCAAGAGAGTGAGACTCTAACTCAAATATATATATATATTCATACACATACACATATTCACACACATAGGCATGAATATTATGAGTACACAAATGATGGGGGCGGTGTTAGAATAGGTTTCCCAGGTGGGTGACTGGAAGGTGAATGGAAGTTGACTGGGGGGGTTGGCTGGGGCAGACAGGGAAAGCCATGCCACAGAGCACTGCACAGCATTTGCAAGGGCATGGCTGCGTGAATGGCTTGTTAAGGGAAAATGTGTCTTCTGCTGCGGCTGAAGAGCATGGGCTAGAGACTAGGATAGAAAACTGTGTAGTGGTTATAGGAGAGCCTGGTCCCCTTTGGAATTTAGATTTCCTTGCTTAGGCATGGGAGTATAACCAGGGGTGTGTAAGCTGGACACAATGGCATTGTGGCTTGGGAAGGAAAGGGCAGGAGGGCTAACGGAGAGGGTTGGCTGGAGAGGTTTTCAGAAATGAAATTGACGGGCCTCTTTAAGCTATTGGATGAGGAAAGGCAAGGGGGGAGGTGAAAATTACTAGTTTCTTGAGTAACTGGGAGTAATGGGAGTGTACAGAGGAGTGGTTTTCAGAATGTAAAGGAAAAGAGTTTGGTTGTGACTTGTTCAAGATAGCCACAAAATGTGGAAGATGAAATGCCACATTTCATCCACGACATTCCAATACACGACAGGAATGTAGGTCAAGAGCTCAGGGAAGAAGTGGAGCGAGATAGAATGGAGATCTGGAAACTTCAGACAGAAATCAGTGACGCCCAAAGCCGTGGGAATAGACAGAGTCCCCAAGGAAGCGAGAGACTGGTGTTCGTATATTTTTAAATACTCATTAATGACTCCTTACAATGTCTTTAGATTCCTCTATTTTAGTTTGAGTTCCTATTTTCACTACCCACTCTTGGAGAATAGTTCAAGAAATACATTTGAGGGAGTTCTAAGACATGTCCCAGGGTTTCTCCCTCGGCCTTTCTGCTGAATGTGTGTCGCCTCATCATAAAGCCATGGACTATTATTTCACGAGTAGAAGAACTCTTCAGGTGTTCGCTCGACGTTTGTCAAGCTTTAAATTAAAATTCATGTTTCAGGCTCCTTATGTAGCTCTGAAAAATTCATAATAAAAGCTATTGATACAGGCTGGGCCCTTACTATGAGACATACCTTGGCTTATTTTTCCTGCACAATCTTGTGTCTTCTCACAACAATCAGATATGAGGAACTTATACTCCCATTGTCTCCATTTTACAGATGAGGAGATGGAGATTCTCAAGAGCAGCATTAGATAAATTATGTGAGCTTTCTTGTCCAGGAATGGTACTACCAGGTCTCCAAACCAAATTTGTCTTGCTCCAAAATGCTGCTATAAACACCATATCTGCTGCCTCCTCTTCCCAAAGCCCCTTTTAATCTGGAGCATTAAAAGAGAGCTGTTGGACAAGGAATCCAAAGCCTTAATTCTGGAACCAAACTTGTAGGCTTTGTTTATTTTAATGTTAGTGATGTTAAATAATTCACTAATCAGATACTCATTTTCTGAAATGGTTGTCAGTCATATTGGTCTCCTTTGATCTCTGTAAGGATTAAAACACTTTCAAGGTTTTATCTGGAGGCAGCCAAGATACAAATATTTGTAATGACAGCAATCCTGCCTCAGAATCCCACTGGGAAAGACTGCTAACCCCTAGATACGAGGACAGTATGGTGTAGTAGGACTGACTAAAGCTTCTAAAAGCTCCAGCTGGATGTAAAAATAAAAATATTAAAAAATCATGCAGACTGGAGCTTGTGCCCCAACGACCCTGCTTGCTAACTCCAAGTGTCAGTTTTCCCATCTATAAAATTGGGGGGATAATAGTACCTGCCTCATAGGGTTAATGTGAGGTTTAATTGCAAGTAGAACATTTAGCATTGTCACTAACACATCGTGATGGTCAATAAATAAAGTTGCACCTCCTGAAGATGTGAAGAAAAGCAAAATGCCTATATTAACATTTTGAAACCTTAGAATTGCAGCTGAGTAAAACTGCAAAATAATGAGAAGACTCCATTCATTCATGCATGCATTCATTCATTCATTAGCCAAGGTTTTTCTTGCATGTTGGGCTTTGAAAGTCTTCCCTGCATGTTGGGTACTGGGAACACAAGGATGAAACAAGGTACAAAATAAGACCTCTTCCCTGGCCCCCAGCTGCTCAGACTATAGCATTACTTAACCTGTGCCTTTAAGTCACTGTATATTTCCTGAAAGACAAGTAATTTAAAACAAGGTATATAGCAAGTCACATTTGAAGTCTTATAAATGGCATGTATAAGAAAGAGAATGTCTGTTATCAGAGAACTGATGGTCCTTGAAGCATTCTTGGAGCAATAGAGGAGAAGTTTTATCCCCTTCTATACTGTGTGTTCTACTATATGACTCTACAGTGTGGCAGTCACACCAAAGCTCTGGCTACCAAGGATACTTTGTTCAATAGAGAGGCAAAGATGATTTCAAAGAAATAACCATAATCACATGACTTAGAGAGGCAGTCTCAGAGCAGGAAGCAGGATTGAGAGGGGAAGTGAAAACAATACAGGAATCAGGGTCAAGAGAGAGATTAAGGGCTTAAGGTAACATGTAAAAGCACAGGCTATGGAAAGATAGAGCTCTGGGTTTAAATCCTCAGACAGTTGCTTGGTTTTTCCAAGCCTTATTCCTCCTGTCCAAGTTGGGGATATTATAATATTTAGTTAATAAATGGTCACGACAATGTATTTCAAGTGCCTTTCAATAGTAGATATCTAACAGGTGATAACACTTATCAGCATCTCATCCTCCTCCTCCTCATCCTCATCATCTCTGAGCGAGTGAATTTTTCAGGTTCCATATTTTCTTTGAAAACTTTGCAGGATTGTTGTGGAAGATAACATCTAGATGCATATGTAAAAGTAGAACATTTTGCAAGTTTATGGAATTAATTTATGTCACCATCAAATGTCACGTTCTCCCCTTCCTCCACACCCGGGCGAGGTTAGTTAGCTAGGATTATACTGGGCCCATGTAAATCAGAGTGAAAGAAAAGACAGCCACACGTTGTCCATAAGCTACCCACCTGCTCACCCACGGCCACTCTGACTCTGTCCCTCTTCCTGGCAGACACTTCCTCTTCAAGACCTCCTCGGGGAGCACCCCCTTGTTCAGCAGCTCTTCCCCGGGATACCCTCTGACCTCAGGAACTGTTTACACGCCACCTCCCCGCCTGCTGCCCAGGAATACCTTCTCCAGGAAGGCCTTCAAGCTGAAGAAGCCCTCCAAATACTGCAGCTGGAAATGCGCCGCCCTGTCGGCCATCGCCGCGGCCCTGCTCTTGGCTATATTGCTGGCGTATTTCATAGGTAAGTCAAGGCGACCTTGCCCATCAATCCCAAGTGTGACAATGTGAGGGAGGGGGCACGGACTTGTGGATCTAGAGGGCTTCTGTTTCGGTACGATTTGCTGCTTGGCTCCTGAAAGACATAATCATGAGTGATGGATGGGAGTGATTTTTCCCTCCTGAAATCCATTTAAATCTGATGAGTTTCTCCTCCATGTCTCTAATGACATTTATCAGAAGGGAAATTAAGCATTCTTACTGTATCCTTTCATCGAGATGAGCTGAGAATTGTCATTCCCACCAACCCATCCCTCACTCCCAGAGTAGCCTTTCAGTTTTTTCCATCCTTGGGTTTTAACCCGGGTCTCTGCTCTAAAATCCATGCAACATTGCTTCACTTCAGCCCAAAACTGGACAGAAGAAGGATAGAGGTTGGGCATGCCAGAACACATCTTGATTCAAGAGAAAGCCAAAGTAGCCAGGTTATTTTCAGAGTGGTGGAACAGGAATGAGAGGCCAGAGTTTCCATCCAGGTCTTTATGCAGAATCAAATCACCCAGATCAGATGTGGTTGACCTTGCCCGCATCCCTTCCCCGGCCTCGATTCCCCCAGCCTCAACTCTCATCCCACCACATGCAACTGCATCTGAATCAGATTTGCCTCCCCTGGCAACTGTGACTCTGGTGACTCGGTGTATGACTTAGGACAGCGGATTGGTGGAGTCGCTGGGTACCTTTCTTCCCATGCCAAGGATGTTGGTTTGCATCCATGGAGTAAAGCCATGTAACCATGGAAAGTGGCAGATGCTGAGAGCTCAGGGGCAGGTTGCCATGGGCATATGGGCATCCCAGGCTGGACACAAAGCCTGCTCACAGCTCCCAGCCCTGACGAAGAGCTCTCGTGCTGCTGTTCTGTCAACTGGGCTTGCCAAAGGCAGATCTCCTTGCCCAGGAAGAGGCCATGGTGATGTCTGTTAAAGTTTATTTGAAACACTTGATGGCTCTGGCTCAGTTTCAGGGCAGCTATGACAGACCTGCCCAGTTTGACTGGGCTATGTTGCAAAGTAAACCTATAAAACACCAGCTAAAAGAGGTCAACTACAAAACAGTTCCCAACATGTCTACGGAAACTCCTCCTGTTTAAGAGCAAAGAAAAAGCAACTATGTTTGCCCTGTCCCTTCCCCCAACATAAGCCTTCCTTTCTCATTCAGTATTGGGCACTCCCCCACTTCCTTCACCCCCAGGCAGGCAGCATGGCTCCTGCCAGAGAAGGAATTGGCCCAGCATTTCCCAGACCATCCCACTTAAGCTTGCTTGGTGACAGAATAGTGTGACCATGAACCCCAGAGATCTGGGACCCTGCCCGAGACAGACCAATCCATGCCAACAATCGATGTTAATGTTTTGCTGTCTTCCATAATATTACTATGCTTGTCTTAATATGGAAACATAAGCATTTATATTCTTTACCTGTTGCATTTCTCAGGAATGCTTTCCCAAACTGAGAAAAATTGAAACTCTAGGGAAAGGGGCCGTGTTTATCTGGGGTTTTGCAAAAGTCTATGCTCTCTAAACCCGAGCCCCACCTGGGGACGGAGGTCTGAGACCCAAGTACCCCTAATTTCAAGTCATGCCTGCTTCTCACTTACCTCTTGATGAAGGTTGGAGGAGTGGACTGACTTAAGAAAGAGGAAGGACATCTGCTGCCTCCCTCCATCCCTTGAGTAGGATCTTGTGTGTTGTTAAAGGTGGCTTTATGTGCTCAGGGGGCTGGTAGAAGCAAATTGAATGTGCCTTTGGGGTCTTTGCATGATTTGGCTTTGTGTCAGAAACTGCAAAAAGGATCTACCTGCTTACTTCTTGGGCTTAATGTTCTGCTGGGCCAACTGGCACCACAGGGAGCCCAGATATGGAAATTGAGGCACTGCCTGCCTCAGCCAATAGCATCTCCAGTGTGCCTCCCACTCCACTTACAGGAGAGAGATAGATGGCTAATGCCTGATTTACTGAGCTTGATAGTTAAAATATAATAGCTTTCTGTAAGGGCGCGCATATAAATGGGAAACTGTATAGTGAGAGTTTAATGTTTTAATCGGGTATGTAACTTGTAAATGATGGATTAAGAAATATATTTATCTTCAGTCTGGAGGCTACTGGAAGCTGGACCTGAGCATCTTAGGATGGTTTATTAGTTTATAATCCATCATTTCCTATTATGTATGCTTTAGGTAAGATGATGCTTTAACCCTGCAGTATTGAAGAATAGTTTATGACTCCAGATGAGTGATGTAATAGACCGATTTGCCCAGCAGTGATGTTGGCAATCATGGAGCTACAGGCCTACTCTCTGCTTCTCTCCAGAGGTGACCAAGCACAGTGAGGGGTCAGGACCCTGAGTGCTGATCTTGGCCCTAGTGATCCCTTTCTCCTTAGCCCTGGCAAAGTTGTTTGCCTTCTGGGTCTTGGTTTCCTAAGTACAGCACAGGGGCAGGATGGTTATTTACGTGCAGAAACTCTGAAGTATGGTAAGGATTAATTAATGTGTATAAATCACTTTGAAGATGAAAAGCAGTATATTATTAATTACAAAGCTGCAGGGGCATAAACAGTGCACTGCAAACACAGAGGAAAGTGCTGTTGGGAGCAGCCTGTGATTGTGCCTATGTAAAAAATAAGTCATCAGGGAAGGGCAGAAAAGCAATATAAAAACCAAGGCCCTCCTACTAAGGAGACTGGTGCATTTACAGCCCAAGTCCTTCCTGATTCACATGTGACTCTGGGTTCCACGAGAACATGACAGGTCCCGAAATTGAAGCATCAGCCCCAGGACATTTATGGACAGGCAGTGGGTTCAGGCCTGCCAGGCACTGTGACAAATAAGTCAAATTATCTTCCTTGCATGTTCAAACCCGTAGAGAGAAGAGTTTCCAGAAATGAGCAATTTGGAATAACTCGGCCCCCTGACAAGTTCTTGCCAGATCCAGGCCTGTGGGGGAGTGTAGAAGCAGAATGCCAGCCCTTGCACAAATTGGAAGACACAGGTCTTTAGCAGCTCAGGAAAGATCCCCCCAGTTCCTACTCACACAGCTGGGGTCAGAGAACTTTTACGATATGCTCTTCCATCAGACCCTCTTTGTGCCAAATTCTCCCAGTGTACAAACATCATGGAATAAACCGCTCTGAAAAGCTGAATAAACCACCAGGGGGCCACTTGGTGCATCACTGAGCCCCTGGCCTAAACAGTTCCTAAAGAATACTGGTTAAGAAGAATTTGACTATGAAACCCTCTCAGGAACTTGTCTTTCTTCCTCGGGCAGCTCAAGCACTTTCATTTCATTGCCTACAATGCCAGAGGTCTCTCTCTATCCCTAAGTTTTTTAATCATGTAACCAACACAGAGGTTCTCACCTGTTTTATACCTAATGTATTGTATTATCTTCATAGTATACAAAACAGTCATTGGTTAGAAGCTCCTACCTGCTTAGAACTGGAAGTGTCTCCATTTGAAGCACTTTTATATAATTCTTTAATTGAATCCTATCCCCAATCACCCACTTATACTCCAGCAGAAAATAACAGGCATATTATGATCATTTGACAGACTGCAAAGTCAAGACTAAGCCCTTGGTCTTCTGATGCCTAGTCAATCTTGACTCCTCTCTCCTCAAGATTGCATTTAGCCAGTTTCTCAAATACTGAATGGAACTTGAATGATCCTTTTGGTAGCATTAACTCACCTTACCCTCTGCTTCCTCTCCTTCCTGAATTATTGTATAACACATTAGATAGAAACCACACCACCTTCTCAGTCTCCTAAGCTGAGAATAGTCTCATATTTCTGCTTTCTCAACTATCATCTGTTACAAGGATCAGCAAGTGTTTTCTGAAAAAAGTTGGATAGTAAACATTTTTGGTGCATGTTCCACAGAATTACAATTGCTCAAAGTTGCTGTTGTAACTCAAAAGCAGCCATAGATAGTGTGTATACAAACAGGCCTGGCCGTGCACCCATAAACCTTTAATTATGGATGCTGGAATTTGACTTTTATGTAATTTTCATGAGTCATGAAGTATTATTCTTCTTTTTATTTTTTTCAACCATTTAAAATGCAAACCCATTTTAAATGGTTGAAAAAAATTTTAACCATATAACCATTGCTTAGGTTATATGCCATTAAAAAAACAGGTCCCAATGCAGTGGCTCATGTCTGTAATCCTGGTTCTTTAGGTGGCCTAGGTGGGAGAATTGCTTGAGCCCAGGAGTTCAAGACCAGCCTAGGTAACATATTGAGACCTTGTCACTACAACAAAATTAAAAAATTAGTCAGGCATGGTGTTGTAAGCCTGTAGTTCCAGCTACTCAGGAGGCCTAGGAGTTCAAGGCTATTATGAGTTATGATTGTGCCACTGCACTCACTCCTGCCTCGGCAACAGAGTGAGACTCTGACTCAAAAAACATGGCAGACTGGTTTTGGTTCACAGGCTGTAGTGTGTCAACCCCTGGTTATATTACTGTTCATTTCCTAAGAATACCTTTCAGAGTGTCTTCATCTTTGTGAAAAATAATTGCTTTCCAACTGGCTAAGAGTCCTACCATATGTCCACTGTCAATGAAGCAGATGATTGACATTTTCTGATACTACAATCCCATCTCATAATGAATAATTACATCAGACTTTCTGGCTCAAACCAAAAAGTAGGAAAAGCAGTCACTTTTTCCTTAGTTAAAATCCTTTAGAGGATAAAATTGTGCATCTTAATATCATAGCTTTTAACTAGACTGCTTGAAACAATGTTCCAATTCATGCATGGAATGGTATTGCCTATTCATTTTTGCCTAGGACTCATTTCTCCTCAATCTTCAGTTATCTCAAGTTCCTCTGTAAAATTATCGCCTGTTTTTTGTTGTTATTGCTGCTGCTGCTGTTGTTTTGAGGCAGGGTCTCACTCTTTTGTCCAAGCTGGAGCACAGTAGCGTGACTAAAGCTTACCACAGCCTGGACCACCTGGGCTCAGGAGAT